GTGCCGCCCTCCATCCAGGACCTCACGGACCACGACCTCTTCGCCATCAAGCGGACCATCACGGTGGGCCGGCTGGACAAGCCCGACCCCCGAGGGCCCTCTCCGGGCCCCCCCGCTTCGCCCAAGCGCGAGGTCCTTTACGACTCGGAGGGGCTGAGCGACGAGCGGGGCGGCAAGAGCAGCGAGAAGGACCGGCGCCGCTCCGGGGCCGCCTCCTCCTCCTCCTCTTCCCGGGAGAAGGGGTCTCGTCGCAAGGCGCTGGATGGGGGGGACCGGGATCGGGACAGGGACAGAGACAGGGACAGAGACAGGTCATCCAAGAAGGCCCGGCCCCCCAAGGAGTCGGCGCCTCCCTCAGGGCCCCCGCCAAAGCCCCCGGTCAGCAGCGGCTCGGGCTCCTCGTCTTCGTCCTCGTCCTGCTCCTCCCGGAAGGTGAAGCTGCAGTCCAAGGTGGCGGTGCTGATCCGCGAGGGCGTCAGCAGCACCACGCCGGCCAAGGATGCCGCGTCCGCCGGCCTGGGCTCCATCGCGGTCAAGTTCAGCCGCGACCGCGAGAGCCGCTCCCCCTTCCTCAAGCCCGACGAGCGGGCCCCAGCCGAGGTGGCCAGAGCAGCTCCGGGCAGCACCAAGCCCAAAAAGACCAAGGTCAAAGCCAAGGCTGGGGCCAAGAAAACCAAGGGGACCAAGGGAAAGACCAAGCCATCCAAGACCAGGAAAAAGATCCGCAGCGGAGGTGGCAGCGGGGGCAGTGGCGGCCCCGGGTCGCTGAAGAAGTCCAAGGCGGATAGCTGCAGCCAGGCAGCGGGAGCCAAGGGGGCCGAGGAGACCTCCTGGTCCGGGGAGGAGCGGGCAGCCAAGGTCCCTAGCACCCCGCCCCCCAAGGTGGCCCCTCCGCCCCCTGCACTCACTCCTGACTCACAGACCGTGGACAGCAGCTGCAAGACACCTGAGGTCTCCTTCCTGCCCGAGGAGGCCGCAGAGGAGGCCGGGGTCCGGGGTGGGGCAGAGGAGGAGGAAGAGGAAGAAGAGGAGGAGGAGGAAGAGGAGGAGGAGGAGGAACAGCAGCCTGCCACCACCACGGCCACCAGCACAGCTGCAGCCGCCCCAAGCACTGCCCCCAGCGCGGGGTCCACAGCCGGCGACTCCGGGGCGGAGGACGGCCCGGCTCCCCGCGTCTCCCAGCTGCCCACGCTGCCCCCACCCATGCCCTGGAACCTGCCGGCTGGTGTGGACTGCACCACCAGCGGTGTCCTAGCCTGTGAGTGTTCCCTGAGGAGGCGTGGGTGCTGGGGCAGATGAGACAGGATTGGAAAACGTGGGGACGGATGGGTGCAGGCTTGGTGGCAGCAAGGATGCCCTGGAAGGGGTAGGGATCTAGAGTCGTGGACTAGGGGGTCAGTCAAGGTCTGTCCCAAAGGCTTTTAGGTATCTGGGTGTATGGAAGGGAGCAGGGCTGATGGGAGCAGGTGGTGGCCAGCACAGCCTAGAGGAAGGGACTGCATTCTGGGATTTCCCTGGAGCAAGACTAGGGTAGAGGAACCAGAAAGAATGACTTGAGCAGGGTGCTGTGTCCCTTAAGGCCGTGGTCCCCCAATCTTTCTGGCATCAGCCACCGGGTTTGTGGAAGACAATTTTCCCATGAACCGATGAACTGGAGGGTGGAGGAAGCATCAAGCAGTAGGTTTTCATTAGGAGTGCACAGCCTGGATCCCTTGCGTGGGCAGTTCACAACAGGGCTCACGCTCCTATGAGAGTATATTGTCTCCACTGATCTGATGGAAGGTGGAGCGCCACTCACCCGCGCCGCTCATCGGCTGTGTGACCCAGGTCCGCAGCCCTGAGGGTTGAGGATCCCTGCCTTGGAATGGCGGTAGCCTCTACCAGACTGCAAAGGTGGGAACAGAGGCTGGGATTGGCAATGTGGTCAGGAGACGGAACGTCACTCCACCACTTCATTGCTGAATGACCCTGGCCTCTCCTCCCCACACACACTTTGAGCCCCAAGAACATTCAGTGTGCAGGTGGTTTTCTTTTTCTTTTTTTTTTTTTTTTTGAGTTGAAGTCTCACTCTCATCCAAACTGGAGTGCAGTGGCCGCTCCCGGCCACCGCAGCCTCGACCTGCTGGGCTCCGGCAATCCTTCTGCCTCAGCCTTCCAAGTAGCTGGAACTACAGGCGTGCGCTACCACGCCCGGCTAATTTTTTTTTAAATTTATTGTAGAGATGAGGTCTCGCCAAGTTGCCCAGTAGGGTCACGAACCCGCGGGCTCAGGCGCAGGTGGTTTTCTTATTGGCCAAGGCTCCCTTCACCCAATTTTGAGCGTAAAGCCTGGTGGCGTGTCCTGGGGCCCAGGGTGGGAGAAGCAGCAGGCAGCATATGGCTGGGTGCAGTTCACCATCCCCTTTCCTGTCACCTCTCCCCCACCTCTGTGTTGTCATCTCTCTGCCTCCCATAGTGACTGCACTTCTCTTCAAGATGGAAGAAGCCAACCTGGCAAGCCGTGCAAAGGCCCAGGAGCTGATTCAGGCCACCAACCAGGTGGGCTCCCCTGGGGGAGAGTCCCCGCAACCCCTTGTTTGTCCATTGCCTCGGGTTAGGAGAGGAACTCCACTCCTAGCTGTCCTTGGGGCAAGGTACCAGTCAGAAGAGGAGTCTGTTGCCCTGGGACTGTTGGGAAGTCAGGGTGGGAACAGTAGGGGGTGGTGCGGTGCAGGTTCCTTCCCCCAACTCCCTCTGGCTCATCATTCCTCCACCCTCTTCCCACAGATCCTCAGTCACAGAAAGCCACCCTCAGGTCTGGGGGTGACCCCAGCTCCTGTGCCCACCTCTCTGGGTCTGCCCCCTGGCCCTTCCAGCTACCTGCTTCCTGGTAGCCTCCCCCTGGGAGGCTGTGGCTCTACCCCTCCCACCCCCACCGGGCTGGCTGCCACATCTGACAAGAGAGAGGGCAGCAGCAGCTCCGAGGGACGTGGGGACACAGATAAGGTGAGCTGGCCTTGGGAGAGGTGGGTTGATGGGGACAGTTTTGTAGAGAGCACAGATAGGGAGGTGCAGGAGTCCAAGGGGAATGGCAGAGACGGGCACGTGGATGGGGACTTGGAGGCCAAAGTGATGAGATTGTCAGGAACTAAACTCTCCCTCAAGCAGGTGAATGGGGAGTGTGTGCTGGGTGGGTTTAGAAGATGATCACTTACATGTGTGTACATATACCCCACACACATCCACCCTTCAAACACCCCCACTACAGTCCACCCCTTGGTTCTCTGTTGCTCTTGCCCTCTTCCTCTCTGTGAGGGAGGGTGGTTTCATTTTATTTTATTTATTTCTAATTTTTAAAAATTTATTTTAGGCTGGCCTCGGTGGCTCAACCTGTAGTCCTAGCACTTTGGGAGGCCGAGGCAAGTGGATTTCCTGAGCCTATGTGTTCGAGACCCACCCAGGCAACTTGGCGAGACCTCGTTTCTACAATAAATCAAAAATTAGCCAGGTGTGGTGGCGCTTGCCTGTAGTTCCGGCTCCTTGGAAGACTGAGGCGGAAGGATTGCTGGAGCCCAGCAGGTCGAGGCTGCGGTGGCCGGGAGCGGCCACTGCACTCCAGTCTGGGCGACAGAGTGAGACTCAGACTCAAAAAAAAATTTATTTTATTTTATTTATTTATTTATTTATTTATTTATTTATTTTGAGCTGAGTGGTACTGGCCGAGGGTCTATTGGGTGTGATCAGGATGTTGGCCAGGTGGCAGCTGTCTAAAAATTTGCGGCTGCACAATCCATTGTCAAGATGGCTCATTCCATGACTGTTGACTGGATGCCTCAGTTCCTTGTCAAGTAGACCTCACACAGGGTTGCTTGAGTTTCCTCACCACATGACAGCTACTGTGTGGCGTCCCCAAGCAAGTGATTTCAAGAGAAAGCAAGGAGGAGCCACAGGGTCTTGAAGTCCTAATCTTGGACACTGTACAGCATAGCTTCTACCACTCTATTCATTAGAAGAGAATAATTAAATCCAGCACACACTTACGAAGAGGGAAGTTAAGCTCTACTTCTTTTTTTTTTTTTGAGTTGGAGTCTCACTCTGTCGCCCAGACTGGAGTGCAGTGGCCGCTCCCAGCCACCACAGCCTCGACCTGCTGGGCTCCTGCGATCCTTCCGCCTCAGTCTTCCAGGTTGCTGGAACTACAGGCACATGCTACCACACCCAGCTAATTTTTGATTTATTGTGGAGATGAGGTCTTGCCAGTTTGCCCAGGTGGGTCTCGAACCCGCGGGCTCAGCCAATTCACTTACCTCGGCCTCCCAAAGCACGGGATTATAAGCTGAGCCATTGAACCTGGCTAAATTTTTTTTATTCAAAAGATGTTAGGGAGGGTGGTTTTCCAAAGGAGCTAAGGAGGAGGGAAGCATGGATGCTGGGCAAATGCACACATGGGTTTTGATTCAGCTGTTGTATCTGGCTCCTACTTCCGGGCCTCAGGCCTGCTTTCCTGTGGTCGGGTTGAGATGGTCTTCCTTCCCACCAGCCCAGACCGTCCTGTCACCCACCCCTTGCACACCACGTGTGTGGTACCAGAGGGAAAGCCCATAAACCCCACAGAAATCCTCACATGGACCCCAGAGGCAAGGTCCAGCTCAGACTCATTATTCATGGCATATGGAACAGTGGGGACACTATAGCCAGTCACAGGCCTCCTGCTCTGCCTATTAGGCCGCCTTGGCCTGTTGTGTACCTTCTTTCCTCCATTGCCACATCTGAGGTGGGTGGTGGGGAGCAGGCTTCCTCTTGCTGTGTCTCTTTAGAGACCCACTTCTGCTGGAGACCCTCCTGAGGAGTCTCAGGTGGACTGTGGCCCTCCCGGTTCAGTAGCTCATCAGTTTGCCTTCTCATCATAGTGTCATTGATGTTGCCCCTGGAGTCTGTTAGCCATAGTGCCCTGCCCTTCCCAGGACTCATTTGACCTGCTGCCACTTTCTGTGGGGCACAGGGAACAGTCACCTGGGTTGGGAAGGCAGCCTCCCCCGAGGTAGTGCTCCGGGACTCTCCCGAGTGCCGGGCAGAGGCCTGTTCTCTGGTCCCAGCTGGCCCTCCTGCTGGCGAGTTCCTGTCTATCTGCTCTTGCAGATACTCACTTGAGGCAGGGGATGCAGCTGTCCTGTCCAACCCTGGGGAGGATCTCTGCTCTGTTCCCTGTCCTGTCCCCTTCTTTTCATCCCCACAGCCATCACCCTCAGAACTGTTGCAGCGCCCCTTGACTGGTCCCTTGCTCTTGCCATCCTGTGGTGTGTTCTCCCTGTGCATTGCTTCGGTCCTCCCTGTGGGTACTGTCTCATTTTTCAAATGAGCCATAGAGTGGCAGACCAAGATTCCAGTACATATGTGCCCCAGAGCTCCGCTCCCACCCCTTGTTCTCCCGAGTGACCCTCAGCCCCACTGCCAATGCTATCCACTCGGGAGCCAAAGCAGTGCTGTAGAAGCCCAGACAGACCTCTCACTCAGTGGCGAGAAGGCCTTCTGAAGTGTTCCTGCTAGTCAGAATGAGTCCTTTCAGTCTGATGAAACACCATTATAGTTGCCTGACAAACACCTGTCTTCTCACCAGCACATGAACTTTGTGAGGGCAGGGGACACATGTGTCCTGGTCACGGCCAGACCTGGGACAACTCAGGGTCTAGCCTAGAGATGTTCAGTGATATTCAGAGGCCTAAGGCTGGCCTGTGGTATGGTTTCAGCTAGGGGAGTACAGGGCAGACCCCAATCAGGACTTCTACCTCTCAGAGTGGCTGCATGGTCAGAGTGGCTAAGCTGGCAGGTAGAGGTGTGTGGAGGCCGGCAGTCCTGCAGGCACTCATCCAGCCCTTGCTGTCCCTTCTTCCCACCCTGTCACCACCCCTCCAGTATCTGAAGAAGCTGCACACGCAGGAGCGGGCGGTGGAGGAGGTGAAGCTGGCCATCAAGCCCTACTATCAGAAGAAGGACATCACCAAGGAGGAGTACAAGGACATCCTGAGGAAGGCTGTCCACAAGGTGGGCACGGGGACAGAGAGACAGGACAAACAGGCAGGGGATCAGACGGAGAGAGACTGTAGAGACAGATTGTACAGATGGGGAGACAGGACACAGGTCACTGTGGGAGGCAAGGAGGGTGATAGGGTCCCTCAAGGCCTCCTGGGCTGTTCTGGCATCAAGGGGGACAAATGGCATGTTGTCAAGGGAGCAGCTCCCATTCCAAGCTGCACTCCACGGTCCAGGGTGGAGGGGGCTCCGGGAGCCTAGAGGTGACTCTAGTTCCCCCTGGCCTCCCAGATCTGCCACAGCAAAAGCGGGGAGATCAACCCAGTGAAGGTGAGCAACCTGGTGCGGGCCTACGTCCAGCGCTACCGCTACTTCCGCAAGCACGGCCGCAAGCCAGGAGACCCCCCAGGGCCCCCAAGGCCGCCTAAGGAGCCAGGGCCCCCCGACAAGGGCGGCCCGGGCCTGCCCTTGCCCCCTCTCTGAGAGTCTCAGCCACCCTTTCATCCCTTGCCTCTTTGAAATTCTGGACATATTTATGGCTCCACCTCCCCACTTCCCTCCCCCATCAGTGGGATGATTGGGGGAAGGTTGCTGTGGGGGAGAGGAGAGCCCCCTGCCCCACCCAGCCCATGCCCATCTCCCTGGCCCAGCCTGTCCCCAGTGCCCCTCCCTCTGTTCGTGCCCCTTCCCCGATTTCATTAAAGGTTTCATGAAATGTTACCCCTGAGCCCCATGATTTGAGCCCTTTCTTTTCAGAGATAAGTTGGGAAGGAGGGACACCCAGGAAGCTTGCCTGAGCCCAAGGCAAGGAGGGACACCCAGGAAGCAGGGAGACCACAGACTTAGAGCAATGGCCTGTTTCCTTATCTGTAAAGTGGGTGTGGTGAAGATTAAACAAGGCAGGTGGAGCACTTAGAATGACATCTGATAGGTAGTAAACTGTTGGTAGAATGTGCTGGTGACGGGGTAGTAGGAGTTCCAGGCCCCACACCATCAATGTCTTCTGAGCTCAGGGAACCTGGCTGCCATTTACCTTGGAATTGCTCCCAGAAGCAGGATCCCTGTCCCCCTTTGAGTTGGATTCCCTTTTCAGCAGCCCTGAGAGGCTGGAATGCTGTAAATTCACTCTCCTGAGAGAGAAACTGAGGCACAGAGCAGCATGGGCCGCAGGGTGAGTCAGGGCTGTGCTGGCTTCTGTCAGTCCAGTTACCTAGAGTTGAGGCCCAGCGGGGAGAGAAGACAGTGCCCAGGGCTACTAGGCAGGCAGGTCTCAGGTTCCAGGTTGGCCACAGAGCCCCTTTACAGCTGCTGCCTCCAGCCCCACTTAGGGAGAGTCTGAGGCCCAGGAAGAAGAGATGTCTGTCTCTGCTTGTAGGTGAGGCAAGGGCTCACCTGGACTCTGACCAGTCTTTGTCCCGTTTTGCAACCTTTGTGCTTCTCCAAGTCTCAGAGTCTTGGTCTGTAAAATGGGGGTGCCCGTCACCCCCTCATCAGGTCCCTGAGAAGTGGGAGGTGACAAGTGTCAGCTACCCCCTGCAGTGCCTGGTCCTCATACATTGAGCACCTGAGCTGTGGGTGGCTGCACAGATGGGTAAAACCGAGACCCCAAGCAGGAATAACCACCAGCTTGAGTCAGGGTGCACCCAACACCAGACACACAAAAGCGGTGACCACAGCAGGAAGCAGTTTATTGGTTGAGATGACGTGTTAAGGGCCTGCGCCCATGAGAAAGCGAGGACTCAGGCCTCCCCAGTGACCTGAAAATCCATGTCCTCTACCAAGTCCTGCAAGTAGGCCTTGTACTGGTCAGAGGTGAGGGAAAGGGGCTGGCTGTTGGAAATGTGCAGGTCCACGGTGTTCTCCAGTGAGGAGGCCCCCCCGAGTCGGGCCATGTCCAACAGGGCCCTGAGGCACGTGGGCACCACCTGTGGGGGAAGACACCCAAGCAATCCACTGAGGCAGGAGTGGTGGCCAGGAGGACTACAACTCCCAGCAGCCCCCACTCTCACCCAGGATGAACCCCAGGCCCAGGGCTACTGGGAGTTGTAGTTTTCCTCACAGTTACCAACAGGAGGCCAGGGTTCTTAGGACTGAGGCTGCAGGAAGGGTTCCCAGTAGTCAGGGCTGGGCAGGTTGTGATCTGGACCCTCAAAAAGGCTGTTGGAACCTGGAACCAGCTCTCCTCCACATGGTGTAGAAGGTATAAAACAGGTTGGGGGTGGGGCCACAGGACACCCAGAAGCTTCTGGGGACGAGGAGCTGGTCAGTGCCGAGACTCTTGGAAGTGGTGGTTTCTCAGATGGCTTCTGGAAGCCGTAGCTCTGAGAGCAACTTCCTCCCTCTGTAAGACCCCCCACTTTCAGTCCCAGGGGCCAGGGCTGCAGGCACCTTGACCATCACGAGCCTCTTAATCCATGGCTGGTCCTGGGGCCACGACTCCCCCACACAGAACCAGAGGGTGTAGCGTGGTGAGCGTCCACTTCCTTCTATGAAGGTAATCAGATCTGGGGGCCCAGGAGCCTAGTCAGGGTTGGGAAGAAGACCCTCCACCACCCCCAAACCCATCATATCCCCACCAGCTCCCCTGACCAAAGGCCTTCTGCCACAATGACCAGGGACTGCTTGTTTAGGGACAGTCCCCATGGTTCTGTTCATGTTCCTCCTCTCATCAGAGTGGGGCTGGAAGATAGCCTCCTCCCACCCCCCCACCTAGAGCCCCAGCACTCAGGATGGGAAGATGGGCCCCAAAGAGGGGATCCCATTAGTCAGTGATCCCAGGTAGAAGGTGGCAGGCGTTTCCTGTTCCTTAATCCCCTAGGGCTACACTGTCCAATCATAAGCCACATGTGGCTATTTGGAATGAGACTGTAACTAATTAAATGGAATCATATGAAAAGCTCACTTCCTCAGCTGTGCTCACTTCACCTGTGGCTGGTGGCTACCATACTGGGCAGTGCAAATACAGGCCACTTCTTATCACTGGACAGCGAAACCCTTTGTCTGTCTTTCTGCTACTTTTGTCTATCCATCATCATTAATTATAATGACAATGGCAGCTAATTCCCTGAGCACCTTCTGTGCACTGGGCCCCATCTCACACCAGCTCAGGCAGGAAAAGAGAAGAGACTGTCCTTGGATTTGATAGGCTCAGAGCAGCCAAGCCCTTTGCCCCAGGTTATACAGCAAGCAGCAGGGTAAGGTCTGAATCCAGTCCTGCACTGCCTGAGCCCAGAATTCCTAGCCACTGTACCCACTGCTTCCACTTGGTAGAGCTAAGCCCGTCTCACTCACCTGCCACGAAGGGCCCCAGGTCGAACACGCTGCCTTCCTTGTCCTTGGGAACCTCACCATCAGGCCCATGCCCGCTGTCGGGGAGCAGCTCCTCGCCCACGGCCCAGTACGTGTGGGAGTGCCCCAGCCGCTGGGCCCAGAGCTGCTGCCCGGCCCGCCACAGAGCCAGTCCCCCACCAAGGCAGTGCAGCACACGCCTCACGTAGCCCATGACTCCCCTGTCTGTCAGGGACACCCCAGGGTCTGGCAGTGTTATTGGCCATCCAGGCAGCGTCTTGTCCCCTACTTCGGGCCCTACCAGCCGCAGGACCCCTGGGCGTGAGATGGTCTGCTGGAAGACTTGGCGGCCCCGGTAGAAGGCCGTCACCTCAAACTCCCACGCTGAGCAGTGGCAGCAGTGGCATGAAGGGGGAGAGAGATTGAGAGAGTGTGAGGAGGCCGCTGCCCCAGCCTCAGCCCCTCCCAGCCCACAGTTGACACTCACCTTCCTCTGGCACCAATAGCTGCCTCAGTGGATTTTCAGGGGCCCCCAGGTTTGAGCAGGGAACGGGATTGTCTGACCTGGGGCTCAGCAAGAGCTGAGGGCAGGGCTCAGGGGCTACAGTCAGGCCCGAGGGCCCATCTGGGAGTGGGGCCAAGGCCATGTTACCCAGTAACTCATCCAGAATGTCTTCCTGGAGGAAAAATAAAGAAAGCTGGGCATTTCTTTTTTTTTTTTTTTTGAGTTGGAGTCTCACTCTGTCGCCCAGACTGGAGTGCAGTGGCCGCTCCCAGCCACCGCAGCCTCGACCTGCTGGGTTCCAGCGATCCTTCCGCCTCAGCCTTCCAAGTAGCTGGAACTATAGGCACGTGTTATCATGCCTGGCTGATTTTTGATTTATTGTAGAGATGAGGTCTCGCCAGGTTGCCCAGGCAGGTCTCGAACCCGCGGGCTCAGGCAATCCACTCACCTCAGCCTCCCAAAGGCACAGGATTACAGGCTGAGCCACCGAGCCTGGCTAAGCTGGGCATTTCAACAGCCTTTTCCAGAGACTTCATATGGACCAGGTGGGGACACGGGGAGGAGTCAGACCTGAGCTCTGCCCTCAAGGAGCTTCCAGTCTGGGGAAAGAGCCAGCCGTGGGCACCAGTGGCAAAATAGATGCGCTAAAGCAGGGGTCCCCAACCCTGGGTTCACAGACTGTGGCCGGTTAGGACCTGGGTTACACAGCAGGAGGTAAGTGGCGGGTGGGTGGATGGGTGAGCAGGTGAGCGAACTAATGAAGTTTCATCTGCATTGACAGCCGCTGCCCATTGCTCGCATTATTGCCTGAGCTCCTTCTCCTGTCAGATCAGCAGTGGCATTATATTCTCAGAGGAGCGTGAATCCTATTGTGAACTGTGCATGCAAGGGGTCTAGGTTGCATGTTCCTTATGAGTATCTAATGCCTGATGATCAGAGGTAGAGCTGAGGCAGTGATGCTAGCGCAAGGGAGCAGCTGCAAATACAGATTAACATTAACAGTGAGGTTTGACTGCACAGAGACCATAATAATTGCTTGCAGACTCATATCAAAACCATATCAGTGAGTGGCAGGTGAGTTGATGTACTTTAATTGAACAGCTGCATCTGGTGGCAGGCTTTAAGTCAGAATCTGACACTTACTTTAGTCTATGCATGGCCTGCCCGTTATTACCACTTCTATCGGCCCTCCCTTTTTTAATGGTGAGTTATATAATTGTCTCATTATGTATTACAATGTAATAATATTAGAAATAAAATATACAATAAATGTTATATCCTTGAATCATCCTGAAACCACCCCCCCAGACTGTGAAAAAATTGCCTTCCACAAAACTGGTCCCTGATGCCAAAAAGGTTGGGGACAACTACTCTAAAGAACCTGGGTGCTATAATGGCAGGGGGCAGTTCCAACCCCAGGCTCTACACAAGCAAGTTCAGGGCAGGGGCTCGGCTTGGTGGCTCAGCCTGTAATTCCAGCACTTTGGGAGGCCGAGGTGAGTGGACTGCCTGAGTTCACGGGTTCGAGACCAGCAGATGGGTGATGGTCCAGAGGGAGAGGACAAGGCCCATGGAGACAGGGCAGACACTGAGGGACAGGAGGGTCGGGTGCATTCTCACCTGGATATCAGAGGTACTGCCTCGGCCACTGGTTTCTGGAGAGGTGTCCCACTGGGAAAAGTCCCCAAATCCTGTCAAGAAGCCTGGTGAGATGAATTGGGGTGCCAGGAATCCTTGAGATACCAGCCCTCCAAGTGAAGCCCTGATGTGGCACACCTGGGGTCACAAACTCGTAGATCTTATGTGGGTCGTGAGGGTCCTTGCTCTGGTCCACTGCTAGACGCACCCCTTCTTTCCGATTAAGGGCAGACCGGAAATTCCTCTTCCAGGTTGGCAGGTCGGGCTTGTCCTTCCCGGGAGTGTAAGCACCGGTGGCCTCAGCCCAGGCCTGGGGCAACAGCCGTCCCAGGATAGTGGGGGAGGGTGACTTAGAGCCCACCCCTGCGGCCCTAACCCTGTCTCCTCCTGTCCTAACACCAACCTCTTTCCCTGGCAAGTTCCAACTCCGCAAGTTTCCCTCCCCAAATTCCGGGATTCTCTGTGCCCCAAACTCCTCCCTCCCACCCAACTCCACCACCCATCTCCGGGTTTCAAAAACATTTTCTAAGCCAGACTTCCAGGTCCTGCTTGGTGTCTAACCCGTCACCGCCTGCCCCAGGGCACTCTCTGTGATAACCCCGCCCTTCCCACTGTTAGTAACCTCAACTTCGGGGCTCTAAGTCTCGTCTCTAATGCTCCAAGAGCCACCCCTAGAATCCTACAACCAAGAGCCCTGCCCCTCCCCCCTCCCCCGCGGAAAGTCCCCCAGCAAGTATTCCCCTCGCGTTCTAACCCCGCTCTCCCGGTTCTATGGCCAAAACCCGGCCGCTCCAACCCCGCCTGCTCCCACCATCCCCAGCCCGCCGGGCCTGTTGGCCCCGCCCCTCCCGCTGTAACTCCACCCACCAGCCCTGGTGCGAGTCCGTCCGCCACGCTCCGACTCTGACTTCCTGGCCCCGCCCCCTCGGTTTCCCGCGCCCGGGGGCTCGCGCACCTGGAAGATTCCGAAGTCCTCCTGCTGTGCGTCCTGCCGCAGGCCGTGCTTCCAAGGGATGCGGAAGCGCGTGCGGCTCTCGTTCACCCAGGCCACGCCCTCCAGCTGCCCGTGGTCCAGCTGCGACACCAGCCAGGGCAGGATCCGCGGCTTTGAGGTTGCCATGGTCCGGCCTGCGCGCACAGGGCAGTTCCTAGGCGTGGGAGGCCTCCCGGACCCACCTGGCCTGGGGTTTCCGCACCCAGACCTCTCTCTTACGGGTCACGGCGCAGGTTCTTCACCCATATTTTCCTGGGGCACAGACAGGAAACTTCCTCTTCCCATCCTCCAGCGAGGACTCCCTCCCATATACCTTGCAGACCCTTCCCAGCGTCTTCAGCGCAGACTTCTATCCCTCAGTTTCGCCAGGGCGGACTCCTCCCTCCTCCGCATCATCAAAAACAGGTAGCCTCACTTTCAGGGTAAAGCCCTTTCCCTGGTCGTATTCACGTGCAAACCTCTACTTCCTGCACCCACCTCAGTGTAGACCTCCTTCCACAGTCCCCCGACAGAAGATACCCCACCCTTTTCCAACGTAGACCCCCATCCACAATTCTCCCAGACAGCCTCCCTCCTCCTGGGCACGCCCCAAGCTTCTAGAGTGAACTGCCTCCCATTTGCGGAGTCCACTCTTTCCCTCTACCCCGAGATGCCCTCAGTGCAGGCGCCTCCTCCCTCCCTTTTCCCGCAGCTTTTCTGTAGCCAACCTCCAGCGCCGGCCACTGTCAGCTTCCTCTGCGCTTCACGTTCCCCGGAGAACACAGCCTCCCTTGCCACGATCATGCGGACCCATCCTTAATCCCGTTCCTCACTCCCGGAGGCCACCAACTCCAGTCCCGGCTCTTCCGCATTACCTGCGATGGAGAGTCTGGGCGTGCAAGGTGTTGGGGGCCACCCCTGTCTTTGGGCTCCGGGTAGCACTCAAACTCGAAACTGCACACCCCTCTTTCCGTCAGCTGAGCTTTAGAGCGCCGGGGCTTTCTTTTCGATCGACTTCTTGAAATACAAACTTGACCATTCTTTAGATTACAAACTCCAGAGCCAAAGAGGCGGCCCGGTTATCCCGGACTGTCCCCGCCCCCATGCCCTTTTTAGGCTTTCCGGCCAGAGGCATGCTGGGAGCGTCACATGCAAATTAGACGTGCGCCGAGCGCTCCGCCCCTTCTACGTTGGGGCGGTTACCAGCCCGGCCCAGTGCGCAGGCGCGGGAAAGTTGAATAATAAAGAAAAGTTCCTACGAGTTGAGTGGAGGAGACGGCGGCGGCAGCGGCGGGGCCCCGGACCAGGTCAGCGGGATGTTGGCGAGGGCTAGAGTAAGGAGGGAAGGGGAGGGGCTGGGATTCAGGAGTGGGCACCCCAGTTCTGCTTCCCCTGGTATCAAGCTTTCAGGGTCCTCAAGAGTCCCCGGAGTCAGATTGCAGGAACTACACCTCCCATCAGGCTGCGCGACGAACAAGCCCGGACCGAGGGGAGTGTTTGCCGTGAAGCCTGCTGGGATTAGTAGTTCCCGTTGCTCTAAGGGCGTCAATGGCTTGGCATATGCCTCCCTCAGAATCCAGGAGTCGGGGCCCCAAGCCCCCTTCTCCCTCGGGAACCAGGGGGCCTGGGGCTCTAGTCTCTTTCTCTCTTAGACACCAGAGTACAGGGCCCCAGCCTCTTCCTCCTTTGGACCCACGAATTCGGGCCCCAGCTCCCCCTTTTCTAGGACCAGGGAGTCTTAGTCTCATCCCTCTTCTCTCTCTGGGGACTCAAAAGTCTGAGGCTCCGGATCCCAGCTCTCCAGAGGACTCAGAAGCCCAGGCCCTCAACACCTTCCTTCCTTGGGATTCACAAGTCCTAGCTCCCAAGCCTCCACTTCCCACTGAACCCTGGAGTCCAGCCCCTAGCTCCCTCTCTCACAGGTGCCTCCATGGCAGGCTCGGAAGAGCTGGGGCTCCGGGAAGACACGCTGAGAGTCCTAGCCGCCTTCCTTAGGCGTGGCGGGGCTGCCGGGTCCCCTGTTTCAACTCCACCCAGGTAAGAGGAAGTGCCCTTCTTTCCCAGGGGCCAGCATTTGGGGTGGGTCCTCCCTGATTCTTCCTGCTTGGTCTCAATCTGTCTCCTCTTCTTATATCTTGCTTTATTCTCGGTCCTTGGGGTTGCAGAGAGAGGTCCCCAGCCAGGGTGGGAGGGTAAGTACTGCTCCCAAGGGATCTCTGGGGTCAGTCACTCTCTGAGCTCCGCTTCCCCAGGAGTTCTGCCCAAGAGGAGCCAACAGACTTCCTGAGCCGCCTTCGAAGATGTCTTCCCTGTCCCCTGGGGCGAGGAGCAGTTCCCCCTGAGTCCCCTCGGCCTAACTCCCTGCCCCTTCGCCCCTGCTATGGTCCAGAGCCTGGTAAGAGATTTCCCTAGATCACCTTTTTACAGGATAAGGTCTCATTTTAGCTCATCAGCTAGGGGGTAGTTGTGTAGGGTCTCCAGCAGAACTCTCCCCATCCTGTCCTCTGCCCTGCCCTCCCCTCCTACTCCCAGTTAGATTTCTGTCAGTTCTGTGGGTTGACTTTCAGAGGGCATTTTGTCCCTTTCTATCTAGTTATGTCTCTGCTTCCATACATGCTTCCCTGCCCCTAGGGCTTCTGTCACCACTGAGCACCTTTATTAGAGAGGCAGAAGGAGACCAGGTTTTCTTTTTTGTTTTGAGTCGGAATCTCAGTCTATCGCCCAGGCTGGAGTACAGTGGCACGCTCACGGCCACCGCAGCTTAGACCTGCTGGGCTCAGGCAATCCTTCTGCCTCAGCCTTCCAAGTAGCTGGAACCATGGGCATGTGCCACACCCGGCTAATTTATTGTAGAGATGAGGTCTTGCCAAGTTGCCCGGGCTGTTTTTGAACCCATGAGCTCAGGCAGTCGCTGACCTCAGCCTCCCAAAGTGCTGGTATTACAGGCGTAAACAGCTGCGCCCGTCTGGGTTTAGGCTTTTTTTTTTTTTTAAGTTGAATTCTCACTCTGTCGCCCAGACTGGAGTGCAGTGGCTGC